TAGTGTGGTGACAGGTTGGGGAAAGTTTGAATGAGGAAGGTAAAGTCAGGGTCAAGAGTGGATGAGAAGGGGAAGAAAGAGTAGTTAGGAGAGAGGACAGTGGATTGTAGCATAGGAAAAGGAGAAAAAGTAAAGGGGGTATGAATAGGGATAAGAAAATACTGATGGTAAAGTTAATAGTACAGAAAAAAAAGCAGATACAGACACAACAAAAATTCAGTCTGTTTGGCAGACTGGGGCAGGTTCAGTGTTCCACCCCCACCTCTGCTGTTGGTGTTGGATTACAGTTCACTGTTTTTGCTTTTCAGTTTTGTTGGGGGGGTGGTTCACTGGATTATGTTCCCAAGGGGTGGGTAGGGGTGTCACCCCTGGTGCATAATGCTTACCTGTTCATTCTGCAGATTGACACAAGCAGCTTTGGAACCTGCTGGCAGGTAGAAATGGCACTGCTTTTCTCAGCACAGCGTAGGGAGGCTTTCCACAGGTTAAGGGTCCAGGATGTTGCAGAGTTTGATTCTGATTGATGCTCTGTCTTCTGTTTGTTGGGAAAAAAAAGGACAAGAAATAGCCAAGGGGCTTTTTCCCAGGGTGGGACATGCCTTGCTGGCTGTGCCACGTGGGATTTTTGCACTGTTAGGTGCAATTAAAAGTTGATTTATGGGTCAGACCTTGAATTTGATGTGCATCTAATGTGTTGGCAGGTTATTATATTGACTAGAAGCAATCAGAATTACTGAAGTGTAGCTCCAATGTCTCAAGGTGGTTTCTGGAGTTCTGGATTTCTGATTCCGTACCCTAACCACATCTTGGATCCCCCCAAAGCTTCCTTCTTAATGTGTGCATTCCTTACATTATTACATTGCTTTATCAACATAAAATTCTTTTGCAGGAATGTTTTCTCTGCCATTTACCCAGTAGGGGAAAATTTATTTAGTCAAAACTAGGTAATGTAAGCCACAAATCTTCTTAGTCAACAAAAATCTTTAATTTAAAGGTGAATAAATGAAGTGACTGTCTTGCTGCAACTTGTCCTTCTAGAACTTCCAGTTTTCTCCCAGGATTTCCATAGAACATGAGACCACTAACAAGAAGTGAGAAAAAACTTATTTTCTGTTGTGTACCTAAAACATACAGTAATAATCTTAATGTTTTCTTCTTGCAGATCAGTGGGTCATTTTGTATAGCTGGCAGGATCTCTGCTCTCCACATGGTGATTCCATATTAATGGCTTAGTTTGACTTTCTCAGCCCTGGGGAATCTGACTCCAATATATCATAGAAAAAACCCTTACCAGTCTCCACAATTGAGAAATCAAAACCAAGCCAGTACACTTTTGTATGATTCCTGAACACAGATTCTGTGTTCTCCCTTCTGAACCAGCACAGAAGTAACAACTTTATTTCAACCCTGTCAGAAAAATTCCTGGTGGCTCTTCTTTTCCCTAGTGGCAGTCACTTCTCCAGCTACTGGACTCTAGAATAGGTTAGTTTTTTAAATCTATTGTTGCCTAAAATCAAAATAATACTGAATTTACTTCTGACCATTTTCCTGGCACTGTGATAAATATTATGATAGCTGCTTTAAAGATGGGGAAACTGGATTGCTGTACCCCAAATCACATAGCTGGAAAGTAAGGTTATTGTCCACTTCTCATGTAAAAGCTGTGTTTGTAGCCACCAAATAAGATGTCATCCTCCTGGGAGATCCTTAGTATACTGCCTTTTCATTATTATAGACACTCTTCTGTCTTAGCAACTCCCACCAAAAATCCTAAATGATGTACTTTTCACTTTTCATTCATTTATATTATTTATTTATTCATGATATTGTTATATGTTGTTTACATTTCCTTGTTGCCACATCATTTTGTTTCTCCATTCAAACTTTCAAAATGTGTAGATTTGATGGAATTAAAATTAACCCTGAAATATAATAAATATTTTTAAAGTTTACCTTTTTAGCTTTTTTTTAGCTTAATATCCTTAAAAGTCATGTTGTTTCAGATTTCTTTTTACACATTTTCCTAAGCAGAATACTATTCATCTATCTTAAATATATTATACTGAGACTATACAGTCCTTCTGATGAAAACCAAACTTTGAACAGCCTTTACCATGTACTTCAGCTTCTGTTTAAAATGACTGAAGAATTAATACACAGTTTGCGTATAGCCATTGTGTGAGCTTGGCTGCATGGTCCGATAGGGTGAAAAATAATCTGGCTTTCTGTAGTGACAAGAATGCTTATGTTCCAGTGTTTTGAGTAGAAGTATTTGATCTTTTGCTCCAGGCCCAGTGAATTTTATCTACTTAATATTGTTTAGAGTATTTCAAATGTGAGACCATCAATCCATGTTAACATGAACCTTATGTAAATAGATAAAGATCATTCATTTGTGGTTCAATTTTAATCCATCAATATTAAATTGTTTTAGGAAAATTAACCAAACACTTATTGTGGACTTTCTTTCCACATTTTCCATATAACCTAGAATTCAGTTTTTAATCACAATAATATTAAAAAACACTTTTGTTTTCTATCAATGTGGAAGGTTATAGGCGTCAACATTTATCAAAAGGGCCCAGCAAAATTCAACAGTGCGAATAGGTTTCAGCACATTCTCCACTATTAGTGATGCTGAACAAATCACTGCCTTTCTCTGACTGACCTGTTGTTCAATAAATAGTAGTAAGATTTGGAAGGAAAAGGAACTCTTCACTGTGTTTTTAGGAAAGGGAATCTTAACCTCCAGTATTTTTGAGCAATTGTTTTATATACACATTCTAGAAAGACTCAAGTAGTCATAATGCTATGCATGGAAAAAGTACAATATATATTAAAAGTAAAAGTCAGTATAATGGAGCCAAATGCTAAAAATTTAAAATATATAGAAATTATTTTCCTCATGCAAAATGTAAAATAATATTTCTATTTTTTAATGTATACTTAAGCACTGGGGACATGGCTCTAGTAGAGTGCTTGCCTAGCAGGTTTGAGGCTTTATGTTCAAACCCCACTACCACAAAAAAAATTTTAATTAAATAAATAAAATATGCTCTAAGTGTAGTTATTTTCACTCAGCACCTCCATCAAATAAAATTTTTATGCAAAAAGAATACACTTGGAATTTTATTCTTATGTAAAATTTTCAGAGGTTGTTCTATATTGCATTACATGTAAAAGTGAAACAATAAAAATGCCAATTTTCTGATTATTAAAATGAGAAAAAATATATTTTTAAAAATCAGTGATATTTATGCACACATTTATATGTATATATGTGTTACATATCTATAGTAATTTAGAAAGAACTATTTGAATCCATTCTTATCATTAAATACTATGTTAATAAAAAGCTTTATATCTTATTTAAAATAAGTACACCCTCATACACTTTTGAAGTAACTGAGAGAAAATTCTCAATGTCTTAGTCCTGTGTAATGAGATATTGGGGAGAAAACAAGCCAAATTATTTCACCCTCATATGAATCTTTTGATCACATCCTCCTGATTTATGGTACTTCAGATACCCATTTGAAGATGAATAATTAGAGCAAATGTGGTCTAACATACACACTGTGTTTTACATCTTTCTGTGATCCATCTGCTGTTTCTTATTTGATCTGATTTTTCTCTTGTTAATGGATGCTATTAATGAAGCAGTGTCAAGCAATAGAGACTAGCTAACTTACATGGGTACAAACTGTCCTAGTTTTCTAACCAAATTCTCTTACAAAAAGCAAGTGGATAGTACAGGAAGGGTAAATGGATAAACAGTGTATAAATGTTGTACTATGCTGATCTCTCTGTATAAAGAAGAGATTTTCAAAAATTATTAACAGTATTTGTAAAGATAAAAGTTTAGGTGCCTTAAATCAAAGAGGCAAAGGAGCTGTTTGTAATCCATGGTTCACAAGCTAACAGTGCAGTGAAGTAGGACACAAGTTAGGGGACTACGCACCTAAGGCTAATTAGTATGAGAACAATTGACTTTAAAAATGTTTCAACATATTGTGGTAAAATAAGTACATGACTTAGTCCTTCAGAATATTTCAGTGAAATGCCTTTTGGTCAGCTACCTTGATTTCCTGATCAAACACTCCTAACATGTTATCTTAGACCTGCCAGAAACTAGAGCAAGCATTTTATAGTCTTGCTACCTTCTGATATAGACTAGAAAGAGTCATTTAGGAAACAAAATTATCACAGCATCAGCACCACAGGAAAATATTGATTGAATCTTGTGAAGCATGTGAGGAAAAAGACCAGGACCAGGAGGGATAAGTGGGCCAGACATAGTAATGAAAAAAAACGGACACGTGAAGAAAAGATACATTCAAAGTTTGTAATTTCTAAACATTTGTTCCAAGTGATAGAGTACTAGTAACAACAACAGTTCCAGGTATAAATACTGTTTTACAGCTTTCACATGGTCCTGCTTTAAAGCAGTGCTTTGTTTGAATCTTATAACAAATGCAAAACAATTCCTTTGTAGTAGGAGACACATGTAGTATTATAGCATGTGAACTGCTTATTTTGTTAAGTAAAATCGTTACCATTCCATAAAACTCATAGTCTAGCATAAAGCCCGTGATGTGCTTTCTTTGGTCTTTCCTCAAAAGTCTTAATTATGTTAATGAAAAATTATCGTTAAAAACTTTTTCCGTGATTTAGACTTTATCCCAAAATAAATGTAGTGAGAAAGATAATACATGTGAAGGAAAATTAAATTGAAATATAAAAGGGTTTAGTGTTAATGGAAGAAAATCAAATGCCATTGAGAATTAACGTGTAAATAAAATTTAAATGAAAACTAATCTTGATTAAGAAATGTCAACTGTTTCCACTTTTATTTTCATTTAAACTTTTAAAAATACTGTTGTATAGTTGAAATATTTCCATAATTATTCTTCAGTTCTTAAAGGTAACTTGGGAGTAATGGAGAGGCCTGTTGTTTGGTTCAGCCATGTTAAGTTTGCCTGTCTTTTCCTTTCTGCTAGGAAAAGGAAGAGGACAAATCAGACACAAGTTCTCAGCAGCCTAAAAGCCCACAAGGTCTGAGTGACACAGGCTATTCTTCTGATGGAATATCAAGTTCCCTTGGTGAAATTCCAAGTCTTATTCCAAGTGATGAAAAGGATTGGATCAAGGGTCTTAAAAAGGACTCCTTTTCACAAGAAAGCAGCCCTTCCAGCCCCTCAGACTTAGCTAAGTTAGAAAGCACAGTCTTATCCATTTTGGAAGCTCAGGCAAGTACACTTGTGAGTGAAAAATCAGAAAAGAAAACACAGCCCGATGAGGTTTCTCCTGAGCAGCCAAAGGACCAACAGAAAACTCAGATTTTATCTGAAACTCTGGAAATTACTACTTCAAAAGAGGAACTCAAGGAGAGTCAAGAAGAAAAGAAAGACACTGCAAAAAAGGATAGCCAACAAGGCATTCCTTCCAGTAAGGAGCATGCTGAAAAGTCTGACTTCGTTGATGATGTAACAGCAAGAAGACAGTCCTATGATTCAGTTGAAGACAGTAGTGAAAGTGAAAACTCACCTATTCCACAAAGAAAAAGGAGAACTAGTGTTGGTTCATCAAGCAGTGATGAGTATAAACAGGAAGACAGTCAAGGATCGGGGGAAGAGGAGGACTTCATTCGAAAACAAATCATAGAAATGAGTGCTGATGAAGATGCTTCAGGTTCTGAAGATGATGAGTTTTTTAGGTGCCAGCTCAAAGAGATTAGTAATATTACTGAGAGCCAGAAGAAGGAGGAAACAAAAGGGAAAGGGAAGGGAACAGCAGGGAAACACAGGCGACTGACTCGCAGAAGTAGTGCAAGCTTTGATGATGATGCAGGGAGACGTCATTCATGGCATGATGAGGATGATGAGACGTTTGATGAAAGTCCTGAACTCAAATACAGAGAAACTAAAAGTCAGGAGAGTGAAGAACTGGTAGTTGCTGGAGGTGGAGGGCTACGTCGATTTAAGACAATTGAGCTCAATAGTACCATAGCAGATAAATACTCCACAGAGTCATCACAGAAAAAAACAGTTTTATATTTTGATGAAGAGCCAGAATTAGAAATGGAAAGCTTGACAGACTCTCCAGAGGACAGGTCAAGGGGAGAAGGATCTTCTAGTCTTCATGCTTCCAGCTTCACTCCTGGCACATCCCCTACCTCTGTGTCATCACTGGATGAGGACAGTGACAGCAGCCCAAGTCACAAAAAAGGAGAGAGTAAACAGCAACGCAAAGCTCGCCACAGATCGCATGGACCTCTTTTACCTACTATTGAAGATTCTTCAGAGGAAGAAGAATTGAGAGAGGAAGAAGAATTACTAAAAGAGCAAGAAAAGCAGAAGGAACTAGAACAGCAACAAAGAAAGAGTTCGAGTAAGAAATCAAAAAAGGATAAAGATGAACTTCGAGCTCAGAGAAGGAGGGAAAGACCAAAGACACCACCCAGTAATCTCTCTCCCATCGAGGATGCATCACCAACGGAAGAATTACGCCAGGCCGCAGAAATGGAGGAGCTCCATAGATCATCTTGTTCGGAATACTCACCTAGCATAGAATCAGACCCAGAAGGTTTTGAAATAAGCCCAGAAAAAATAATAGAAGTACAAAAAGTTTATAAATTGCCCACAGCTGTGTCTTTATACTCCCCAACTGATGAGCAATCTGTTATGCAGAAAGAAGGTAGTCAAAAAGCATTAAAAAGTGCGGAGGAGATGTATGAAGAAATGATGCATAAAACCCACAAATATAAAGCTTTTCCAGCTGCAAATGAACGAGATGAGGTGTTTGAAAAAGAGCCTTTGTATGGTGGCATGTTAATAGAGGATTATATTTATGAATCTTTAGTAGAGGACACATACAACGGATCAGTAGTTGGGAGTCTACTAACAAGGCAAGAAGAAGAAAATGGATTCATGCAGCAGAGAGGAAGAGAGCAAAAAATAAGACTTCAAGAACAGATTTATGAAGATCCTATGCAGAAAATTACAGACTTCCAGAAAGAGTTTTATGAGTTAGAAAACTTATCTGTTGTGCCTCAAGAAGACATTGTTTCAAGCTCTTATATCATTCCAGAAAGCCATGAGATAGTGGATCTGGGTGAAGAAAAAAAATTATTAGATGCTGATACTGCCTATGAAGAACTCATGAAGCGGCAACAGATGCAGTTAACGCCTGGATCCAGCCCCACTCAGCCTGCCTTTGGAGATGATCTGACAGAGTCCACCATGGACTTTGACAGGATGCCAGATGCATCTTTGACATCAAGTGTTCTCTCAGGAGCATCACTTACAGACTCAACCAGCAGTGCAACACTTTCTATTCCGGATGTTAAAATAACCCAGCATTTTTCAACAGAAGAAATTGAGGATGAATATGTAACCGATTACACAAGAGAAATTCAAGAAATAATTGCCCATGAATCACTAATTTTGACTTACTCTGAGCCTTCTGAAAGTGCTACATCTGTCCCACCCTCTGATACACCTTCCCTCACATCATCTGTTTCTTCAGTTTGCACAACAGATAGCTCCTCCCCCATTTCTACCTTGGATAGCATAACCACAGTTTATACAGAGCCAGTGGACATAATAACTAAATTTGAAGATGCTGAGGAAATGTCTTCATCAACTTATTTTCCAGGCAGCATTATAGACTACCCAGAAGAAATAAGTATATCTTTAGATCGGGCCACCGTACCAGAAAGTAGAACTAGTGGTGATCATATTGTAATTTCCTTATCTGACCTGGCATCTTCTGCCACCGAATCTGTAGGAATGAAACCTGGGGAGCCAAGTGTTCGTACTGTTTCCACTGACTTAGCTGCATCTGAAAAAGATCTAATTAAAAAACCAAGAAGGAAGCTGGGGATGGAATTATTCTGGCGGTTTTAGAAGCTTACAAAGACAAAAGGAAAGAGCCTGAGGTTGAACTAACAAAAATTAGCTTATATGAAACTGGGTTTGACCAACCACTTTCTTCTGTAATAGGCCCTCCAATGAAGGAGCAGCTTTTATCTACACACTCGAAATCTGGAAAGATCTCTGGTCAGGAAAAACCTCCATCTCAGTTACCACCTGGCAGTCCTCCTGTTTCCTCTCATCCAACTAAATCTCGTCCATTCGTCCGAAGGTCTTCTTTGGACATATCAGCCCAACCTCCTCCCCCTCCTCCTCCACCACCACCTCCTCCCCCTCCCCCTCCTCCTCCTCCTCCTCCCCCACCACTGCCCCCTCCAACTTCACCTAAACCAACTATTCATCCTAAAAAAAAATCAACAGTTGTAGCTCAGTGACTCCAACTAGTACAGCTACACTTCTGATGGATACTGATACTACTGCAGAGACCACAACTGCTCGGAGGAGTGATGCGCTATCTGGAACAAAAATATATACTACTGCACCTCCTCCTGTGCCTCCTAAGCCTTCTTCAATTCCATCTGGTCTTGTATTTACACATAGGCCTGAGCCAAGCAAACCTCCAATTGCCCCCAAACCAGCAGTTCCTCAGCAACCAGTAACTACACAAAAAACAACAGATGTACACCCAAAACCAACAGGTCTACCATTAACTTCAAGTATGTCCTTAAATTTAGTGACTTCAGCAGATTATAAATTGCCTTCTCCCACCTCTCCACTTTCCCCACACTCTAACAAGTCCTCCCCGAGATATTCCAAATCCCTTATGGAAACTTATGTGGTTATTACATTGCCATCTGAACCTGGCACTCCAACAGATTCTTCAGCTGGTCAAACAATTACCAGTTGGCCCTTGGGATCACCCCCGAAAGATCTGGTTTCCCTTGAACCATTGTTTTCTATAGCTCCTCCTGTAACAGCTGCAGAAATTCCAAGCTCCACACAGCAAACCCTGTACCTCTCAGGAGCTTTGGCGCCTTTCTCAACTGCCCCTGTTGGAGCACCGTCTTCATTTCAGGGACTTCCTGGGTCACTTACACCATTTCTCACAACTGAATTCTCAAAGGCTGAGGTTTCAGCAACCAGAAGTACAGTTCTGAGTATTAGTCCCAGCAGTATTTCTATATCAGTTCCTTCAGAGCCTCTTGCACTAGATAACCTACATTTAGAGAAGCATCAGTATAAGGAAAATGGACAGTTGCAACTTGCTGGAGATGCCATTGATTTGCGAACAGCACCAAAAACAGAAGTTAAAGCAACTGAAAAATGTATGGATCTTTCTGCTTCTGCAATGGATGCAAAAAGGCAGACCACAGCGAATGAAGTTTATGGGAGACAAATAGTGCTGTCCAACCTTCTATTATAAATCTCAGTGCAACTTCATCATTAGTGACTCCAGTACCCCTGGACACTGAGACAGTTCCTGTTGCAACATGCACAGCTACTGCAAGTTACACTGTAGGCACAGAAAGCCTGGTAGGTATAGAACATACAATGACAACACCACTCCAGCTTACCACATTGAAGCATGCTGATTCCTCATACAGGATACCAAGTGTCAGGTCTTTCCTACAGTTAGGGAGGAAGCACCAATAAACTTGTCTGTAAGCACCTCGGCACATGCAGTGACATCAGCTGTTACCAAGCCTGTCACTGCACCTCCTGTTGGTGTCACAAATGGATGGACTGATAGCACTATGTCCCAGGGGATCACTGATGGGGAAGCGGTAGATCTTAGTACAACAAAGTCTCATAGAACTGTTGTAACAATGGATGAATCTACTTCAAATGTGATGACCAAAATAATAGAAGACGATGAAAAGCCTGTTGATTTGACTGCAGGACGAAGAGCTGTGTGCTGTGACATGGTTTATAAACTACCTTTTGGAAGGAGCTGTACCACACAGCAGCCTGCAACTACTCTTCCTGAGGATCGTTTTGGTTATAGGGATGACCACTATCAATATGATCGATCAGGACCATATGGTTATAGAGGGATAGGTGGCATGAAACCTTCTATGTCTGACACTAACTTAGCAGAAGCTGGACATTTTTTCTACAAGAGTAAGAATGCTTTTGGTTATTCTGGAGGAAGTGATGCAGCAGTAGATCTAACTTCAGGGAGAATTACTACAGGTCAGTATGATGTGGCAACAGACCTTTCCTTGAAATACCAATATGGTGTTCCTCATCTCATTTCAGGATGAAAATGTGGTCCCTATTCCAATTTTGTTGCTTCTCTTTCTTTGGATATTTTGGCAACATTTTGGAGTATATGTGCGCTTTTGTTTCTTCGTTTTTTTTTTTTTTTTAAATTGTTCTGCCCAAAGTCGCCTGCATGTGCCTGCATGTTCGACATTGCTTTTCTCCTGCATCTAATTAGGTTAACCTGTGGATTTGCATGCCATCCCATCCATTATGTTCATCAAGATGAGAGGGATTTAAGACCCCAAAAGCATCATTCATTCTGAGAACTGGACTATAACTCTACCCTGTATTTCAGGTGAGGTAATGGATTATTCAAGCAAGACTACAGGTCCATATCCAGAAACACGACAAGTCATTTCAGGAGTTGGGATTAGTACCCCACAGTATTCCACAGCAAGAATGACTCCACCACCAGGACCCCAGTATGGTGTGGGTAGTGTATTGAGGTCATCTAATGGTGTTGTCTATTCTTCAGTGGCGACTCCAGTCCCCTCCACCTTTGCGATCACCACACAACCTGGCTCCATCTTCAGCACCACTGTAAGGGATTTCTCTGGTATTCATACAACTGATGGGGTGACTTCTTTATCTGCCCTGCACCAGAGCCAGCCAATGCCTCGATCATATTTCATAACAACAGGTGCATCCGAAACAGACATCACAGTGACTGGTATTGATATCAATGCCAGTTTGCAAACTATCACTATGGAAACTCTTACTGCTGAGACGATAGCCTCTGTTCCCACTTTAACCACAGCATCTGAAGTGTTTTCTGAAGTGGTGGGAGATGAAAGCACCCTTTTAATTGTCCCTGAAGAAGACAAACAACAGCAGCAACTTGACTTGGAGCGTGAGCTCTTGGAACTGGAGAAAATTAAGCAGCAGCGCTTTGCTGAGGAACTGGAGTGGGAACGTCAGGAAATCCAAAGGTTCCGAGAACAAGAAAAGATCATGGTTCAAAAAAAGCTGGAGGAGCTGCAGTCTATGAAGCAGCACCTCCTCTATCAGCAAGAAGAAGAGCGACAGGCACAGTTCATGATGAGGCAGGAAACACTAGCTCAGCAGCAGTTGCAGCTCGAACAGATTCAACAGCTGCAACAGCAGCTTCACCAGCAGCTAGAGGAGCAAAAGATTCGCCAGATCTACCAATATAACTATGACGCTTCGGGAACAGCTTCTCCACAAACCACCACTGAGCAGGCAATATTGGAAGGTCAGTACGTTGCTCCAGAAGGCAATCAGTTCTGGGCCACTGAAGATACCACCACCACTGCGTCTGCTGTCGTAGCCATTGAAATACCACAGAGCCAAGGGTGGTACACAGTTCAGTCTGATGGTGTGACTCAGTACATTGCTCCTCCTGGCATCCTGAGCACTGTATCAGAAATTCCTCTGACAGATGTTGTTGTGAAAGAGGAAAAGCAAACCAAAAAGAGAAGTTCTGGAGCTAAAGTCCGGGGACAGTATGATGAGATGGGGGAAACTGTGGCAGACGATCCCCGGAGTTTTAAGAAGATAGTGGACAGTGGTGTGCAAACTGATGACGAAGACACTGCAGACCGGAGTTATGTGAGTAGAAGAAGAAGAACCAAAAAGAGTGTTGATACCAGTGTCCAAACTGATGATGAGGACCAGGATGAATGGGATATCCCTTCTAGGTCAAGGAGAAAAGCACGCGTAGGGAAATATGGTGACAGCACAGCAGAGGCTGACAAGAGCAAACCACTTTCCAAAGTCTCCAGCATCGCGGTTCAGACAGTTGCAGAGATATCTGTGCAAACTGAACCAGTCGGAACCATCAGAACTCCTTCCATACGAGCACGAGTGGATGCCAAGGTAGAAATAATTAAACACATTTCTGCACCTGAAAAGACTTACAAAGGGGGCAGTTTAGGATGTCAAACAGAAGCAGATTCAGACACACAAAGTCCTCAGTTTCTGAGTGCCACATCTCCACCCAAAGACAAGAAACGCCCCACACCTTTAGAGATCGGTTATTCATCATCTCACCTTCGGGCAGATTCCACACTCCAGCTGGCTCCTTCCCCACCCAAATCTCCAAAAGTCCTTTACTCACCCATCTCACCACTTTCACCAGGCAAAGCCTTAGAATCAGCCTTTGTACCTTATGAGAAACCCCTCCCTGATGACATAAGTCCACAGAAAATACTGCATCCAGATATGGCTAAAGTTCCCCCAGCAAGTCCTAAGACAGCCAAGATGATGCAGCGTTCTTTGTCTGACCCCAAGCCTCTGAGTCCAACAGCAGATGAAAGTTCCAGGGCTTCTTTTCAGTATGCCGAGGGCTTCACGGTAAGAGTGATTCTTTTCAGTTAGAAGACAGTGGATGAGTTAATGTTAATCATGTGTTTGCAGACTTTAGAAGATAACAGCACTCCTGGGAATTTAGAAACCTAATACTAAAATTCAGGGAGGACTGTTGCATTATAAAATTGAAGAAAAAAACAGTAAAGCACATATTTACCTAAAAACACCAAAGAAAGAAAACTTTTTATAGAGGCAAAATGAAAAACAAGGTTTATTATTTTATGAGTTAATAAATATTTAAGACTTTGTTTTAATACCAATTATAGACTGATCTTAGTAAAATGTAATTAATATTCATTTCCTACTATTATGGGATAAACATTCAAGATAAACAGATAAGGCAAAGAATGACCATACATTTAGGTCATGGATACTGGAATTAATTACTGAGAGGGTTGATTGAGATTAGCTATTCAGTCTCGTCTTCTTTCAGCCAGAAAGCTTACATTAAGAAAAACTTAGGATTCAGGGACAGGTGTGATGGGGCACAGCTATAATCCCAGATACTTAGGAGGCAGGGGTAGGAGATCTCAGCTTGCAGCCAGCCCAGGCAAAAGTTAGCATGAGACACTATCTGAAAAACAAACTTAAACAAGTAAAAAAAAAAAAAAACAAAAACAAAAACAACTTAGAACACTTAATGAAATTGATAAAATATTTCTGGGAATGGCAGATCAAAGATTAATGTAATCATCATGGTTCATACATGCTTATTTTGTTTTTTGACAACTTTCTTAAACTAAACTCAGGTGAGCCTTAATCCTGGTGCTCATAGAAGCAAAAATAGTTTTTCTGTTTCTTTGAATAATAGGGATGAATTATTTTATAATCATAGATATGCTTCAAGGGATACAACTTATATAGATATGTTCAAAATATTTTTGACTGTCTCTACAAATGAGAACAGCAAATGTTAAAAGTCATCTATTCTTGTATGCACATATGAATAATAAAAGAAAAAGGAAAAAAAATAAATAAAAAAAGTCATCTATAAAAGCAGGTACATTGTTATTAAGAGAACATAATATATGTTGTTTAGAAGGTGAGCAATAAGTATAATAGTTCAATTTAGCATATGTCTATTTAAATGAAAAGTTTCCCTGATATACTAGTTTCTGAACTCAAGGTTCAAACCCTTAAGCTAACAAGTAGGTTTGCCTTAGATATTTGTTATATTTTCACTGAGCATTATGAGTTAAATATTGCCTGTGGAATGCAAACTTTGTCACTATAAGTCTATTTGCAGGCACAAAAACATGTTGATGATCATATTAATAAATCAAAAATCAATTTCTAGTTTTATACTGAAATTTTTTGTCACGTTCTTCTTTCTCCTTCTCAAAGAGTATATATTTGAAGTAAAACTGTCTTTACATGGGGAACTAGGTCATAACTACAGAGTCAAGGAACCACCGGTACACTGAGATTCATTCTGTTCACAGAGAAGTATTCAGTGCTTTCATTTCTAGAATTAAGTCTATTGTGAAAAGTAACTTTTAACTCAGCTATAGCTTGTAGATATTTCTTTTTATAGCTGTGGCTTATAAGTGAACTTACTGAGCTGTTTTAGATTTCTGTCATTAGAAAGAATAGGCTTTGTCAGTTGGTGAACTGATCATCTACTTGCTATATGCCTCTATCTCCTTTAATTTTAATGAACTTATTTAAAGAAGACATTCAAAATGTGAATATTTTTCCTCCTAGTATTCACTTTGAGTTTGGAAATATGCAAGGAGAAGTGTAATGGTGATATAAGTGGTATTTCTCAATGTATAGGCAATACTGATTAACTATCTAATCATAAAAGAAATAGGAGGAATTACCAAATAATAGAGAGTCTGAAAAATACTAATTTTATTATGTCCTAGAACACAACTCAGCAGTTCTTCCAATTGACCAAACACAATGCATACTTTACTATGGAATAATTGTATAAAACTTAAATTTATTGTTATTATGCACAAGGTAGAATATTTTATATCCAAGCAAAGTTATTTTAGTATCTGAGATATTTTGAATCTAATATATGAATTTTATAATTTACTTCTATATAAATGTCTTGATATACTTTGACTCTATTTTAAAGTAAATTAATTTCTTCATTATAAGTATGGATTATGAGCTATTAAATAATCCATAAAGAGAATAATCTTTGTAAATGACAATCATAGTGATATAAGTGTAATTTAAGAAGTTTATCTCTGTAGTTTGCCAATTGCTAACTCTCATAGATCAATAAAATGGAGAAAAAAGTCATCATTCATTCAACATTGAGGTGATAGTGATACATATAATACAGTGTGAAAGACAGTGTGAGATTCTGTGTCTATACCTCCTTTTCCCAAACTATCATGAAAAGCTTCAAAAATGAATTTGTAGGACATGATGTTTGATCTCTATGTGGGACCATGAAGAGATAAATAGAGGTCATTCTGAATAGAGGGAATGCAGTGTGCAAAGGTTCAGATGAATAAAAAGACATACAGCAAAGGGTAGGAGAAAAAAGTTTACTGTAAATGAAACTGAATGGTGAGTGAGGGTCACTCACTCATACAGGAGATAGATATAATTTGCCAAAGTGTAGAATTATTTAGGTTTATTAACTTGGCCATAAGAGCCTAGACCAAAGTGACCATCAGTCATTTTTTTATTTATAGTACGTATTAACCTCTGGACTCCTTCCTTTCTTGCTTTTCTTGTATTCAATCCTGTATAAAACAACTCCACCTCTCAGGAGGCAGAGACTGGAGAATCACGAATTTGAGGCCAGTCCAGGCAAAGTTAGCAAAACCCTATCTCAAAAAAAAAAAGTCTGGGGGTGTGGTTCAAGTGACAGAGCCCTTGCTTAGTAAGTGCGAATCCCTGGGTTCAGTTGCCAGTACCAAAAAAAAAAAAAAGAAAGAAAAGGAAGGGAGGGAGGGAGGGAGGAAGGAAGGAAGGAAAAAAACTAGAGTGATTTTCTAAAAGGTGCATAAGGTTATATCACTTGCTAAAGAGCTTCAACTCACCAGTAGTGTTTCATCAAGTTCAGATTATATTAGCAATTTCAAGTATCTATGACCTGATCACTGCCTGTCTCACGAACTCGTTGGTCATTCTTTGTATTTGCCCCATGCCTTGCTCTGCCCCATCCACAGGCCTTGCTGTTCTTTGGATGTGCCACCCACATCCTCATCCTGGGCCCCCACCTGGATCTTTCCCCAGATTTTCACACAAATCACTCTTCTCTTCAAGTTTCTGCTCAGATTTAACATCCACAGAGAAGCCCCCCTTACCATCTTCTACATCTCTAAAACTATCACCAAGAGTCTCTATTAATGTCCCCAAATTTGTACAAATTACTTATCCAATATATCATGAATTTCATTAAATATCATCTTTTTATCCAGTACAATATAATCTCTAAATGTATTTATGAATAAGGATTTTTATTTGTTAAGTTTACTGCTATGTACCTAGTACCCAGGGAGCTGCCTGCCTCATAATAGGTTCTCTATAATGATAATTTAATTTGATAGATTAATGAGTGAATGGACCTCTTTACCATTAAACTACTTTCATTTTTAAAGATTTCACAATTCCTCACTCCCACCCAAAATAAAAAATCCAAAACAAAGAAACACACAAAACCATATTCATCTTCCTACTGTACTTTTTAACTATTTGTGTTATTCAGAGTTATAATCCTTTTCTCCTCTTGTTGCTCTTGCACTACAGGAATGTATGACATTATACTTTCTCAGATGCTCAGATGGAGATTTCTCACTATCTCCAGCCTCAGGTCCATGAAGATTTTATAAACCATAGCACAAAAACATGTTCCTCATTTCCTTCTTTTCCGATGCCAGTCAGTCACAGTGAGACTGATTGGCATCACTACCCTAGAGAATCCATAACTTTAGGAAAGGAGGTTAATATGCCCATGTTCTCATTGAGTCAGGGGAGAAAGTGACATTACCATTGGAGGACAGAGCAAGGTAAGTTCAAAGAATTTGGAACTAGAAGGGACTGATTTCGTACCAAGATTTATCTCTCTTAAGATGTAACAACTTTTAATGATATTTATATTTCAAAAAGATGATATATTTCAGATACAGCACAGGTTTTGTCAATTATAGTACATAATATTTTTTACACTTTAAAAAAAGGGCTATTTAAAAAATTTTAACACTTCTATATGTCCATAAAAGCACATAGACTTTTAAGAGTCTCAGACTTAACAATTCAAGAGCTGTTTTAGTATTAGACAGACAAACTATTTATTAAAATTATTTTGTTCTAGAGTGTAAGCCAGGATCCTGTTGAAAAGCAGATGGTATTCATGAGCTGATTGTTACAAGAATATGTTTTGCTTTGCTGATTGCTGTTTGGATAGTTAATTTAAGATATTTAAAACCCTTCAATGCTATTTCTGAGAGTAATTTCCAGAGTGTAAATTGAGAAAATTTATTTCTATCAAAATTTTGGAATTTTTTCTTCTTTTAAAATACAGAGATTTAATAAATACTGGCTATGGTGGCCAAATGGGGCTTGAAAAATGGTATTTAGTAGCAGTTGTTTTTCATTATTCTTCAAAAGCAACATAAGAAATCATCCTATTAACATTGACACTGATGAAATAGGCTGTTTTATAATAGGGTATTTAAATAATATCAGAAAAATTATTCACTTATTAATAATAGGTTTTGTAAATAATAGAAGCATCATCCTTTCTAGTTCTTACCCTCCTCATTGCTAGTATTTTTCATGTGATGTTTTTTCTTCATGATCAAAATCTTGTATCTTAAAATCCAACTGTTATAAAATTAAAATTTGAAGTACTATGTTAGTGTTTTTCAGAATGAATAGCAGTGAGATAATTTATAGTTATTCATAATTGAGAAGATTTGATAAAATCAATTAAAAAATTAATGCATGTATGCAAGTGGCAATGATTAAAAAACAGAAACTTTTTATGGTGATCTCAGGTTAGTGTTCGTTACCTA